ATAAATGAGTTACCTGATTTATTTCTATTATTGTTGCTATTACTAATATTGCGTACAAGTAATATAAGTGACCCGCCTTAGCCTCGTCACTACTTCGTTGAGGTTAGGCTCAGCACTTACCAGTATATGGGATCGGTTGTACTGATACTACATTCTGCACTTCTTGTGCAAATTTTGGAGTTGGTCCTAGCGGCATACCGTAGACTTGCTCGAATTTCAGCTACCAGAGGAGACTTGAGATATAACTGCATGGCGTCCGCAGTTCCGGAGTCCCCGTCTATTTTACTTTAGCTGTGTATTTATTTCTAGACAGCTTTATTTTATTCAGACCTTATTTGTATTTATTCTAGAAGCTCGTATACTTGTAACGCCAATTCTGGTATGGTATTTAGACACCGTTTTTTTTATGGATTATTCATTATATTTCAAACTTATTTTTTATGGATTATTCATTATATTTCAAACTTACTTCCGTATTTGTTCTTGGATTATTAATAATTTAAAAATTGTTTAAAAATTGCTTAATATTATTCTAACATTGGCTTGCCTAGCAAGTGAAATGTTAGGCGCCATCACGATCCGAAGGTGGGAATTTCGGGTCGTGACATCATCATTACTGGCGCCGGAATCGAAGCGGCAGGTTTAATCAGAGGTCACACGCTAAACGAAGCAACGCATCGGGAATATACATCATAATGACGCATGACGTCATGACGTCACCCTAACTCGTGGACAGCATAATTCCAGCAAATTGCTCGGGAAAATCGAAGTGTTTGAAATGTGCGGCCCATGTAGGGCCACGCTGCGAGTTCGCCACAGCCACCGCGACCTGCATAGCTCGCTCAGTTGTTTCGACCACAAAGAACAAGATTCGCACATCGATGATTGAAGCTTTCAGAGGTAAATTTAAAAGGAAAAGCTGTGGTTGAGTAATTGATTGGAATTTGCAAAGTGAGGNATCCGCCTGAAGCCGGCCTCAATAAGCGGAGAGACTAACTGTGTGGGTCAAAATCTATCTTTAGAATATAGATCCAAGATAGTACTAGGAAAAAAGTTTCCAAGTCATCATTTGTCGAAACGGCCCAAGAAGCGGCGAAATCCATGGTCGAAGAGTCAACAGGGGCTGAAGTCGAAGAGTCAACAAGGGTCGAGGCCGAGTACCTTTGACAGAGTTATAACGGCTAGTTTCAAGATAGGATTTTAAAGAGAATATTCTAGTGGATATTCTAGTAGATATTCTCTGCACTTGTACTATTAGGGTTTCTTAGGAGCATGTTCCCTATAAATAGAAAAAGACACAATGATAGGGGACATGTGATACTCATTTGTCAAAAACACACTTTGACTTGAGAAATGGAGTTAGATCTTCTTTGCTAAGATACAAACATCACATTTTTACTGAGATTATTATCTATACTTTTCCAGTAGATCGAAGAAAAACTTAAATATTCAAGGGATTGTCTATCATTCATTATTGTCATTCATTTTATTTACTTAAATGTCATTTATTGCTATTCATTGATATTGAATGCTACATTACTGCTTCTGATTTCTAGAATATTTATTGTATGCCGCCGCCGCTGTTTGATCGTATCTACGTAGTATTTTTGGCTTCTTTAAGAACTCCATCTAGGGATACTATTGTTAGCTAAGATTAACCCTTATTAATATAAGTTTAATTATTTGAACCAAGATTCATATTTTTTGGTAAAACAGGTATCTTCCTCCTCTAGTGAGAATATTACTTGAATTTATTTTGCTTCATTATACTATGAGCAGTTATTGACCATATATATAGACGGCCTGGTCTATTATATTAGAACTTGACCATATAATGTCGAGCTGGGTCGTAATTTACGATGCCACAAAAATTAACAAATAAAATTATACATATTCGTTTTTGTACTTATTCTAGGAATTTGGTCCTATATACATTTAGATTTAGAGGTGTACTTGTTTTCTAGTATGCTTCAACCAGTGTTGGCTAATTACTCGCGTGCTTCTTAAAACCAGACCAAATTGCCAAGTGTTTTGAGGTAATTTACATTTTGAATCGACATGGGATATTGGTGTGGTTCAATTAGATTACAATGTCTCCACAAGATTGTAGAGTTTGCAATTTAATTGAGCCGTGCCAATATCACATGCAAAGAAAATACATAGCATTTTTGATGGAATGTATTCTTTATCTTTATGTACATATAGTGGAAGAGATAAGCACTGTACAAGCATACCATGTGATACAAACCATACAATACCAATTGAACAAGAAGATCTTATAATAGCTTAATTTTAAGAACAAAAACTATATATGAGTTGTTTGAAAAGCTAGCTAGCACACATTCTTTCAAAAAGAGCTAATTAGAAATTGAATACTAAGAACTACATGCGGTTTTTGTATGCGTAGAGTATAATGACATTCACTGTTTTCTTGGAAAGTATTATATGGACTTGGCGTACATGTGGCTTATAAAATGTTAAAATATAATCTATTTCTATATGTCCGCAACTATATGTTGGTGATCACTGTGCATTATTCTAAATTGAGCAACTTTTAGATAATAGATTAGGGATGAGAGAGCTAGTTTTGTGGTGATTTCATACTTTTTTCCTTCTATGTGCCTTAACATTATTAATTCCGTTCATTCTCTCAGAAAAATTATAAATTGAGAAAACCATGAAAAGACTCTAGGTATTATATACATCGATCGCTTAAATCGTTTGCCTAGTGACTGGAAATAAGGACTCATCAACTCAAAATATGACATACTAATATATTAGAGGCACAACCATAAACTACGCACATATTTTCGAACTTCTTGCCTTGCCTTTCATCCCCCCCCCCCCCCTTTGGGCATGTGATGTAACTCCATATCCCCCAAGAAAAACACAATAGGCATTACCTTAACAACTTCCTTTTATTTCTTCCTCACGGCCATAATAAGGCAGCCGCTCGCAACGTAATCCATAAAGAAGATCCTAAAATGTAAGTATGAAAGAAACACCATTTGATTGATAACATATGAAAATGGCATTTGTTTGCCATATTCTTCCCCAAGTGATTTAATTTTCATCCGAAGTTTTCGTCTGATTGCAATTGGATCTATGAGTCAACTTCAATAAAGAAGGGAAGATTGGAGCAACATTAAAGTTATCTCCGTGTGATGTATAAATCACGGCTTCGAGCCGTGGAAGCAGCTATTAATGCTTGTATTAGAATAAGTTGTCTTCATCACACTACTTGCAATGCGATCATTCATCGAATCCTCCATAAACGCGAAATACTTTATGCACCAGGCTGCCCTTCGGTCGATTTCAATAAAAGAATGATAAATCATTAAGGATATAAAATTGGATTGGATCAGAGGTTCCTTCCACATGATTTGTCCTTGGTCTCGTACATGTTAAAATATGCAGTGCAGGCCTCAACATTAAACAAGACTAAAAATGGATTTGTTCTTCACCTGCCACTTGTGGCCCCTAAGGGGAAAAGCCAAATTAACATTTTCATTTTCTGATCTTTGATTGCATGCGGTGGAAAGTATTATAATTAATGTTGTATCTGTTTTATTAATTTGTCTGCAGTGGATTAATATCTTCGATTTATACTCGTAAAGTATCTAAATTAGGGGTGTTTTTCTCTAATATATGTAGTACGTACTTGTTCTTTTAAATAACTCCTTGTTATTTCCCATTTTTTCAGATTCACTAGAGGAAGACTTTCACTTGCGTGGGGAGGGTGTTAAGAATTTAAAAAAAGAAGAAGCAAAAACATAAAAAATAAAGATTTGACTTATCCTATTAATTACTAGTACTAATATTAATCAAGAAGTTGGCTATATTAGTTTTTATTTTTATTATATAAAGAGGGGAGGTTAGATTAAGAGATCAACAAAGACAGCATAAAGCAGTAGTGGAGGAGGGAAGAAGAGAGAGAGAAAATTAAATCCTTAAATGGACAACCTATTGGGTCTTTTAAGGATAAAAATCAAGAGAGGTGTAAACCTGGCTGTACGCGATGTCCGCAGCAGTGATCCCTACGTTGTTGTCAAGATGGGTAAACAGGTAGGTTCTCTCCACTTTTCTTCTTTCTTTTTCCATCCTCGCCATTCTTTCCATTTTAATTTTTAAATCGTCTGGGTTATTATTATTAGTTTTTTTAAAAACAATTCTGAAACGGGTCCAAATGGATCGAAATGGGTATTAAACTTTGTTTGCATGGAGATGTATCATATGATGCTTTGATTACGTAACTAGGATTTAAAGCGGGTTCAGGATTTATATTCTTTGAAGTTACTAATTTTTAAATTAATAATTTGTACATATTTAATGAATTTCTTAGGATAAATACATAGTTTGGACCAAAGCTATCGTGTTCCGACGACCCATAGCTTCTAAAAAGGTCAAACTGTTGGAAAGCCATACTTTGCCTCCAATCTTTGTGCACTGGGGTCTATATAATCAATGAATGTGACATCTGTAGAGGTTTACTTTTAGAACTGGTTTATCAATCACATTAAGTAAAAATTAGAACAGTTTTAGGTATAGTTCTGTTGTTACATTTTCATATCTGACGATTAGCGTACCATTATCAAGCTATTAACTTGGAACTAAGTAGGATCATGTTCTCCGGCGTTAACTATTCTTGTGGTCTTGTCGTGCTTCGAAATTCTTGTTGAATTTTCAATTCAGATGGCCCTGTAATTAAGTTATGACTTGTAGTAAAAAGGGGGTTGGGAAGGGATTGTTGAGTTCAATACAGTGTTCACATGTTTCTATCCGTCTTTAGTCATTGACTCCTAGAAGGTGTGACAGAGGAGATATGGGCTTTTAGTAATTGTTCAAAATTGACATCCCTGGTAGCATTTACCTTTTGGAAATAGGCTATGTAACTGATACGATGTTGTCTTATCTCACTTGTGTATTTGTTTGAGCCAATGATACCCGTTAACGGCGAGAATAGATCTGGATCAGAGTGCTTCAGAGTTTTAATTTGTGGCTGGAAAAATTATTTCATCCGTATATGTTACTGCTTTACGTGGTTTATCACTGCTTTACTTGGCTTAGTAGAGTGTTTTTAGCTTTCATGTGTCCAGAGAGATAAAACCTTTAATTTAACAAGCACTACTACTCTTAGGATAGTACAACACATTTTATGATGTTCTTTTCGCTCATAGAGTAAGAAAAATATGTTTGAAACGTCCGTAACTTTAATTTTTAGCCTTTGGCTGTTTTAATATATTGCGATTCAGAATAAGTTTAAAAGGTCCGGCTTTCATCACAGATGGAAAGAAGTCGTTTCTTTTCATGATGGAAAAGGTAGGGAGAAGTAAATTTAATTTCTAAAACTGTTGGTGGCCATTCTAGGATTTGCAGAGCTGCTGCAAATATGCAACATAAGTCACTGTTTTGTTTTGGCGAACTCCTCTGAGTTTCCATAAAAAACAGCTATGATTTTAGTGATTACATGTTCTAAATTATGGATTGGAAGAAAAGTATGTGCTTAATGTTCAGTTACTTCTACCGGATGCAAAATATTTATCTTATACACGTAATGCATGTTTCAGTTGGACTATTAAGCTTTATTAAGCCAAGGATTATATAGAAAGTTAGAAACTATATTTGTACTAAGGTAAAATCAGAGGACCCCTACATGTAACACTTAATTATTTTCATTCAAGGTTCTGGCTAATGTATATCATTCTTATGAGTAGATTCACAAAATCTCATACTGTTTGGGACATGATTGATAAGTAACTTGGAATGTGGCATTTAATTGCAAATTCTTTCCTATATTTTATAGTCTTTATAATTGCTCTTGCGCCAACTCTTAACTTGCATATGTTTACAATTTGAACACAGAAACTGAAGACGCGAGTTATAAATAAGGATGTTAACCCTGAGTGGAATGAAGATCTGACCCTTTCTGTTTCAGATCCAAATCTTACTGTTAAGCTGGTAAAGTTTCTTATTTGCTGGTGATAGTAAAAGATAAAACCTATCTTTTCTGTAGAGTATAATATTCCTCGTCTTATAAGCCTTTTAGGAATGCTCTGAGATGATCCTTTGTCACTTCAATTATTCTGATTTTGCATTTATGTTTGCCTCCAGACTGTATACGATCACGATATGTTTAGCATGGATGACAAAATGGGAGATGCAGAATTTGATATCAAACCATTTTTAGATGCTCTAAAGATGAACTTAGATGGCCTCCCATGTGGCACAGTAATCACAAGAGTAACGCCGTGCAGGTCAAACTGTCTGGCCGAAGAGACTAAAGTGGTATGGCAAGATAACAAAGTTGTGCAAGATATGTGCCTGAGATTGAAAAATGTGGAATGTGGAGAGGTCGAACTCCAACTTCAGTGGATCGATCTTCCTGGCAGCAAGCGATAGAATACGCAGGATACTATGAACTCTGGTTGCTGTTGTCTGTTGCTTATACTGTTTGTGGTTTGACATATAGGCCGAGTTCCATAAATATGTCCTTTGTACTCTGCAGCAATATGCAGAAGGTTTGTAGCTTAGTAAATTATTTGAACAACTTTCAACTTCTCTAGTAATTTGCTGGAATTGCTTAAGTTATATATGGGGATAATGATGATATAATTATATTTAGCATGCCATGTCATCTTACCAAGAGTGGGTTGCTCATTGGTGAGCACCCTCCACTTCTAACCAAGAGGTTGTGAGTTCGAGTCACCTCAAGAGCAAGGTGGGGAGTTCTTGGAGGGAGGGAGCCGAGGGTCTATCGGAAACAGCTTCTCTACCCTGTGGTAGGGGTAAGGTCTGCGTACACATTACCCTCCCAAGACTCCATAGTGGGATTATACTGAGTTGTTATTGTTGTATGCCATGTCATCTCATGAACATAGTTGTCCACACATATAGGCATCTAGAAATTAGGCATGTTATATGCCTAAAAGATCTGGAATCAAAGAAATACTAAAAGTATACAAATGCAGTATTTAGTGTAATTTGTTTTGGAAAGGAAGACTACAATAGCCACATTTCCAAAAGTTAATTTACCCATAAAGGATTAGAGCATTGACATTACTCTTTTTATATCAACATGCTCTGTAATGTCTGATAATACTACACTACTAATGTTTTTTTTATACTATTTTCATGACCTTTCAAGAATTTAAAATTCATGAACATTTTCAATTCTTAATTTTTTTTTCTTTTTCCCAAATTAGGAGTATATATATAGTGTTTTCACACTTCCCCTCCACTGTGACTCGAACACAGGACCTAACAATCGTAGGTGGATGTGCTTTTACCAACAGAGCGGGCCTCACTTGTCAATTCTTAAATTTAGATGTAAAGCACAAAGAGTAGCACAGCATGCATTTTGTGAAAGGAAACATAGTCGCATGTTTAATATTCAACACAAATAATAGAAATTGATACTCTACGTTGTAATCATCACCTTAAAAAAGTTATTGCAATGTTAAAAATGACTCATAGAGAGAAAGAGAAGGAAGACAAAGGCTAAAAAACAATTAAGATAGCTGAAATCTAAAGATAGAACAGGGAGCAGTAATTGCAACTTTATTTTGCACAACTAGGTGCACCAATTATTGAACCCATGTATATATGCCGCTACTTTTATACCAAAACCTTCCAGTAAGCCATGATTGAACAAAGTACTCATATAAACAAAAACAAAAAAAGAGAACCACTGCTTTCTTGTAGTTTTTTTTGTTTTTTTATGTTAAAAATATGGGACAGGGAGCAAACATTATGGTGGATGAATGACATGTAGTGTGAATATAGGGCAGTAATACACAGATATATTGTGCATTTGGAGAGATTCCCAACTCGTGTATAAATTATGTCCAAAGGGTTGGTTTATTGGATCCATCCAAAAGTCTTCTGCACATCCTTACACATCCTGGAAAGGCTGGGGAGACTGAATAAAAAAACCTAAAAATTAGTAGAGAAATGAAAATGAGGAAGAAAAGGGGCTTGGTTGTCGGTTGATTTGCGAAGTTTATTAAAAAAAATTACACTCTTTTTAGTGCGGTCTTCCATTTTTAATATTCGCTTGCAGAATTTCAAGGTGAAAAGTTAAAAGTGTTGTCTACGGACACGTGACAAATACAAAAGGGAATTGGTCATTCGCTTTGAGACTATTTGTGTGCTTCACCCAAATTTATCTTTTAATATTTGAAAGCATGAATCATCGAGGTGTGAGTGGACAATCTATAGTACTTTGCATTAAAAAATTTGGATCCAAAAAAGAAGTTTACAATGTTTTTCTCTGTATTCCAATAATTCTTTATGACATTGTTAGTTTCAAATATTTGGAGTATAGTGGATTGCTCTTTGGAATACTCAAATCTATTTTGCTACATATACTGTTTTCAAAAACTTATAGACATCTCAATACTTAATAATACCATGTGATCTAAACTAGTAGTAATTTTTTCTATGTTTGTTTTGGGGACATTGGAGGTAGTGGCAGCACTAAAATACTTGGGAAACAAAATCAAAAATCTTATGGTATATTTTAAAAAGAAATGAAAAATGATAAAAAAAAAAAAATCTAGACTAATGATAAGACTGATTCTTTTTCTTTGGAATTTGTACCCGAGAAATAAGACCACAAAATATAATATTCTCTTGATCCAATGTAAGGCTTTTAAACTATAAAATTCAGCCACTGCCCTCTAGGCTACATGTACCACTATATAAAAAAGCAAAGTAAATAGACTTTGAGTTTTATGCATAATGAATATAAAAAATATTTATACAATAAAGTTACTTATTAGATAATTTTATTATCATGGCATTTTCTTATGGTCCAAGCGAACTGTAGCAATTGCCAAAGCACTCCACCATTAAAAGCTCAAAATGCAGCATAAATATCTTATTAAAAAATAATTGATATCTGATAAAATATTAACAATGTTAAAATTTACTAATAATGAAAAAAAATAAAATCATAGCGACTTAAATCTCAAACATAAAAATAAGCTTGCTCATGGAAGTTGAATTTAACCAAGTGTTAGCGGACGTTATAAGTTTTAAAGCAAAATATATTTTCTAAATCAATTTCTGCTGGTTGCTTTTTTACAAAGACAAAAATCAGCAGAGTTCTCTTTTCGGTGGTTTCGTCGTCGCCCGCCTATAAAGAAGCAAGCCACCGCAAAACAAATTCATAACATTTTGCGCTTAGCTGATGCAGCAAAGAGGTAGAAGTTGTAATTGTAAATCGAGGTCCTTCTCTAGATCTCGCCTTGCTATTGAAGGCTTTTCGCTGCTATCGTAATTCTACCTCCATTCTCTGCAATTCAAGTTTCTAATCAAACAGTTCTCACAACCATGGCTGCCATTGATATTGCTGCTGCTCCAGGTAACAGAAATCTTCATTCTTTTATTAACTTAAACTTTTAAACGAGACAATACACACGGTTTAATATGATATCAGAACGTGTAGAAGTCTTGAGTTCAGTCACTAAAATATTTCCACATTTATTGGTCCGAAATAATCATATCATACATAAAGGACGTGTTGCAGATTAAGATAAATAAATGTGTCATGTCTCTAATTACTATGTTTTTAGATGAGAGTGTGCACGCAAGTTAACTTCGTGGTTTGTGGATTTTTGTTTAATTGGAGATCTGCTAATGTTTTGATTACGAATTAATGTGGTGTGTATTAGAACAAGAGCGTGAGATTCAAAAGAGTTATTGGATTGAGCAAGCTGCTGAACTCACTTTGAAAGCAATGATGCTTGACTCAGAAGCATCTGATCTTGACAAAGAGGATAGACCTGAGGTACATTTTTCTGCTTGTTTTTTTTTTTTTTTTTTT